ATTATTTTTTAAAAAGTTATAAGCAATTAAATTGGAAAAAGGTAAAAAAAAATAAAAAGTCAGCAAATTGTTGTTTTTTTTAGTGAAACTGTTTCATTGTAGTTCCGGCCAAAGCCAATGGGATACAGAATAAGAAACATATATGTACATAGCGCCAATATCTGAACATGGAAATGTAGGTAAAAAGGAAAAAGTGCAAAACAACAATAAGTGAAAGTGGCATACATGCAGCTTAATGGGATAACCGTTGGCTCGTGCTGTGAGCATCCCAAGTTCGAATCCAATTCGAACAAAGTTGTCTAGAAAAAGAAGTCTGATGAAGAAACGTAGGAGTTTCGGAAATGGCAGCAATAACTTCTACCGTCCAAAACTGTTGTTTTTTCACTATTTCCAAAAAATTTATGTTCTGAGACAGTTCCATAAAACTTAAAAGCAGAAACCGTTTTTATCTCTCAGGTGACTCGTTTTACAGTTATCGTGTCACTCACAAACAAAAGGGACGTGTTTCAGCAGCAGTTTTAAGAGCAGCCATTTTAAAAAGAATTGTTTCTATTAATATTTATATACTTATCTACAAAAACTTCGATTTACAAATATTTTTTTTTAAATAAATAAAATATTTTGGAAATAACAAGCTTTTTTGAGGAACCTGGCTTTAATGAAAACTCAAATTAATAATATTCTTTTATTTTTGCTGAGTCTGAACGCTATTTTCAAAGTTTGTATGAAAGATCCATTTCTGAATATGAGGATCATTATTACATAATACTATTTATAATTAAATTATAGCAATAAGAGTATCACAATAAATGTATGTATCTATAAATATATATTTGCATTGCAAATGTTTAAAAGGTGCGCAACTTAGATAATTATCTATCAATGCTTCCCACCCTAGTTTGAAAGCACGGTATGGCTTTGCAATAGAAAATAGGGAAGAGGGTAATTGCTGAATTGTTTACAAGTGCAACATACTTTTAGGCGTTTGAGTGATCTTATTGTATCAATGCTCGTGGTGAGTAGTGTCAACCAGCGAATTTATAAATTCTCTGGTTAATTTCAATGAAAATTTAGTCCATCTTGCAAGAGAACATTTGGTTTTTATTTAATTTTTATTTTGATCTAAAGTCGTTATTAGCTCTCTTGTGAAGTTCTGAGTAAATAAATACTTTTAATGGAGTGGGGAAACAAAATATTAAGAAAATATTAATCTCTTCCGTAGCTGAATAATGTTTGTTCTGCTGTTTCTCTTTATAATAATGAGCCCAACGAATATCCTCCATACGCCCAACCGGAATATGTCGAGCTGATTTAGTAATTATGAAATTTAATTGTTCACAAAAATTAATAACTTTATTGTAAACTTAATTAATATATTCCTAAAATATTGTAAAAATACCTGTACAATTTTGAGTCGGCGCTTAACAATCAAAGAAGAAATATCACTAAAATATTTTACGTTGAAAGAAATTGCCAAATCAGAATAAAAAGGAATCTTGAAACTTGTGGCACCAATTTCGAAGCATACCCCTCTGTGTAATTATGAAACCGGAATTTGCCTATATGTTGCGATAGATGTCGATGCAGCTACCGACACATCACGCCAGCGGTCCCCTGATATTGTTTTAATATCCGAAAAATATTTCAAATTCACAATGGAACGAGTTTCATTCAGTAGCATTAGTTTATTAGAGATAAACATGAGGAGGTTTGTGCCAACAAATTACGATTTGCGGACAGCACTACTTTTCTATTTTCATCTGAAGAAAACTGCAGCCGAATCGCATGGAATGCTCGTGGAGGCATTTGGTGAGCGTGCTCTCGCTAAAACACAGTGTTTGAGTGGTTTAAGTGGTTTAAAAGTGTCGATTTTTATGCTGTGTGTTTGGTGGGATCAGAAGAGCGGAATCTATCTATCAGATCAGATCTACTACAATCTGCTGAAACCTGGGGAAACTGTCAAAACTCCACGCTACCGACAACAAATGACCGATTTGGATCGAGTTTTGAGTGATAAATGACCAGAATACCAGCAAAGACAACACAAGGTGATTTTGATGCATGACTATGCACCAGCACAAAAAGCAAAACCGGTCTAGGAAACGATAGAGTCGTTTCGTAGGGAGATTCTTCAGCACGCGGCTTTCTCACCGGGCTGAGCAGCGCTTTACTTCTTATGAAGATGTACGAATGAGTAGTGGCACAAATTGCCAGAAAGATGAGAAAAATGTATAGATTGCAACGGATAATACATTGAATAAGTTACTTTCTATCATATCATTACAATCAACGCGTTTTTTCTGTACAAAAAAACCGGTTTTATATCAACAAACCTGGTATTATAAAAATATTTGCGTGGTCATACATAAAGAAAAATACCCAAGGAATTGAAACCCTTTTTTGTCGGTTAAAACATGCAAATAAAAAACCTTCATAGCAACTTTCAAATCTGATTTTTCCCAAATAAACTGTTAATTAGACTTAAGTCATCATCGATATCCCATGAACAGATCAAACAAGTTTTGGAAAAAATTACGACTAAAAAAATGAATCTAGATATATAATTAATTTCATAGTTCATAGTTTCGCTATAAGTCGTTTAAGTTGATTAAATTTCTCAACACTTTTAAGTGTATGAAGAACAGGAGATTATTGATGACTACAGATGCAAGATGTGCAGGACAATCAAAAAAAAAAAAAAAAATCCCAGAAAGCGATTACTCACCGCACTGAGAACTTGGAAGTTGCAGGAGTAATATTCGATTCTTCCTTATCTACGAACTGCAATTGTGAACCCCCACAACACTGTCGGGTTGTTATTCTTATGGAGGTACTGTTTAGAAGAAATACAGACTTACTTCTGTTCACTTTGAGCAACGGCCAGACTTCTCTTGTCACTTTGCCGAGGGAATAGTGGCAACGCAGTTCCCTGGGATGTTCCTATAACCAATGTGACATGTATAAAGGCTTCGGCTTGAAATCACTTCACACGAAATAATAAAATGTTTTAGTTTTATCTTACCAATTTTAGTTTTATTTTCATTCTCACTTATAATATACATATGTAGCTACATAATTCTATAACTTATGTTATGCAAACATACATACATATATATATATATAAAATATTGGAAATATTATATTTACATATAATTTGTATATATAAACGTACATCTGTATACAATTATTATTGTGATTTTTATTTCTTTTCATTGTTTTACAAGTACTTATGCATAGGTATGTATGTATTAAATTGAAACAATTTATTTAACTTTAGTATTATCATTATTATTATTATTATTATTATTATTATTATTATTTTTAAATTTTTCAATCAATTATTTGGAAATCAAAATGCATTTGCACACATACATATGTATGTATGTATTTAATACATATTAAAAATTAAAATGGTACTTATGTAGAAACAAATGCAACGCTTGACATTGATAATTTGCTAAAATTTTTGCACTTTTCAACATTCATACCTACCTACATACATACATACAAACAAACAAACATAGTTATGCATGATACATATGTTATTATAATTCTCAAGATCGCACACACGCACAAAACAAACACCGGCATTGGTGAATTTGCATTTGAGGATAAATTTTTTTACTCTAAATACATTAAGAATTGCTAATACGTTTTTAGATGTATACGAATGTGTATGTGTATACTTTTTGTTCATATGTGTTTTCACATTTCGTCAATTAAAAAATCATAAGTTTCTTTAATTTTAATTTTTAATTGAGATTTTTACAATATTTTGTTTCAAATAAACGAAGGCAATTTGTGAAATTAGAGAACAACAAGAAATTAGTTTTATAATTGAATATTTTTAGCTAATCAATTTAATAAAAATCAAAAATAAAAGTGATTGCTTGAAACAATGTGCCAAAGAAAGAAACTTCGCAGTTATGCGTACAAAAATAACCTTAACATAATACATACAAATGTGCTTGGGGATGAATTTAGAGCAGCGGTGGACCTGACCGACACGACTTGTGCAGCAATGTGGTCCACCCCTGAGTTAAATTCATCGCCTTGACAAATGAAAAAGCCTGTATGAATTGGTAATTGTTGTAGAGCTCTTGCCGGCTCTACCATCGAAACGATACAAACATACATATATAAAAACGTAAATACAATACTTAGGTGTAGAAGTTTAATTAAAAAAGTAACATTTTGTCGAGTAAAACGAATTTGTATAAAAACATACATATGTATAACAACTTATATAAATATGTACATACTTACATATGTATATTCTATTTAGTACTTACATATGCATACATATGCAGCTATGCATGTAACTTTATGCGTATATATGCATGTATGTATGTAGTGATAAATTCTTAAACCAAATTTGCAGGCGAACTTAGACATGCAAATAATATTGAAAATAAATTATTGAATATTCAAAAAAAAAAGCAAATGAACGCAATTATTTCAGTCTTCAATATATTATACTTAAGAGCCTTGTCTTTCAATTGCGTTGTATCGTTTGTAACATATGTATGTATTGTTCATAAATTATAGTTATTTATCAAAATTTATCAAAACAAAAATGAAAACCAAAGTCAAACATAATTTATATTTTTATATACTATACGTTTTTATTCACATACATATATTTATGTATATATATATATATATATTTACTAATAATTCACAATAAAATATTAACAAGTACACAAGTTTCTAAAATCTATTCAACTTCAATGAGTTATTTCGATATTTTAATAGGAAAGGTAGATTATCCTAAAAATAAAAAAAGAACAATAATAATTCCATTGTCTTACTATTTCTAATTAAGTATTTTTTTTTATATTATTTCGAATAAGAAAATAAATATACACTGGTAAGAAAAGTAAATGGGTAAGTACATAAGATTTTAATGTTTTTTTGTTGTTTTTTATTTCACATATTAATTAAATTAAATGTAAGTATGTATGTCAGTTAAGGCAAGTAAGGCCCCAAAAAATCAAAATAAAATACTAAGTACTTTACATGCGTACGTATGTATGTATACATGTGCAAATGAATGCAAACATATGTATTATAATATGTGAAAACATGCGAGAGACTTATTGTATACTTAATTTATACATACATATATATTTAGATTATTGCTTTGGTATCGAATGCCTCTGGTCGTATCTCCGAATATAAAAACTATACATGTATTTGTGGTAAAAAAGCATAAGTGAATATTGTTTTCCGAAAAGTTGCCTTCGAAATTACTCACTGGGAGGAATTTGCCTCTGGCTGAATCTGCGACTGAAGTTCCGGGAAAATTTTGTGGTGGAGGGAGGTGTCGGAGAGATAGTTGATATTTACATATACACACATGTATGTATGCATGTGTAACTTATAGTTACCTACATACACACATATGTACACAGGCCGGGACTATATTTACAAGGTGTACAACTTTTTCGAGGTGAGTAGGGCGAGGGTGAGGGCGAGCACCATATAATAACCAAAAAATCGAAAAATATTTAGAAGATGCGCGATATCATACGATTCGCCGTCGATAGCGGATGAGGCTGAGCGCTTTGAGGCAGACCTTGCTGCATGTGATGATTGTGCTGATGGTGCTGCTGCTGTTGCTGCTGCTGAAGGCGCGGATCGTAAGAAAGTTGATGCTGATGCTGATGCGGCGACTGTGACAGGTGCGGCGGTAGCAGGCGTGTTGGCAGGTGTTGATGGTGTAGACTGTAATTCATAGCGCCTTCCGGGCCGCTGTTTGTGTTACCAATCCAAGAGGGGAAAAGTCATGCCTCCTCCTTCAGAGTGATGTGGTGTGTTGGGAGGCTATTGGGCAGACTCGTGTCGTTATCGCCACTAATGCTGCCGGGCAGTGAGATATTGTTGCCAGAGTTGCTGCCGCTGATGCCAACAAATTGCGATGGGAATGATGAGAGTGAGCTTGCAGGTGATAATTGTGTTGGCAACTGTGATTGGAGATGTTGAGCGGCTGCTGCCGCTTGCGCCGCCGCTACAGCGTTGGCGGCATTTGCTGCTGCAGCTGCCGCCTTACCTTGGTTGACCACACATTTGCGCATGTGCTTTTCCAGTGTTGACGGCACGCTAAAGGGCATATCACAGAAACGGCAACGATAAACATCCTTACCGGTGCGGCCGTGCGTCTTCATATGACGCGTCAATTTCGAACTTTGCGCACAGGCGTAGGAACACAATTCGCACTTGTATGGTTTTTCGCCCGTGTGGCTACGTCGGTGTACAGTGAGATTGGAGCAGTTCTTGAAGACCTTACCACAGTATTCGCAAGTGTCGTTGCGTTGACGGTTGTCCTTTTTAAGCATGGGATTGTGCAGCATGGAGTTGGCGGTGCCAAGTCCCAAAGGTTTCATTTTGAGATTCTCGAAAAGTGAGTCATTCCGATGCAAAGCCGACATATTCCACCAGTCGTTGCCATCCATTTTGACTCTCTTCGACAGCTCAAAAGGGTTTTGAAATGGATTGAATAGCGGCACTTGGCTTGGGCCATCCGGTTGGGGTGACTGCTGGAAAATGTTCTTCGAAAGTTCATCACGCAGACGTAACGCAGAAGGGAAACCATTTAATTTGTCGGACATTTGTGATATTCCTGAATTGCTTGAGTTATTATTGTCTCTATCCTTATTTGTTAAATATTTGAATTTGCCAGACTCTTGTAGTGCTTGTTTGTAGGCCTCGGAGTATTGCGCTATATTCGATAAACCAAACTTATCCATAAGTTCTCCCACCAGAGATGTTGGCCCGGTACTTGTAGTTTTTGGGCTTTCACTTTTTCCATCGATTCGGTTACTTACACTTAGATCTTCCGCTTCGTAATCTATATCATCTCCGTCCTCGCCCTCGTCCTCCTCATCTTCATCCATTCCGTCCTCATCCATATTATCTTCTTCACCATCGATTTCCGCCTCTCCATCTCCTTCTCCATCGGGATCAGCATCAGCATCGGCCTCCGAGTCAGCTGCATCGTTTGAATCTATGGAACCTGCATTGCTTGCGCCATCTTCTGGACTTCGATGAACTCTCATATGTTTCATCAGCTTGTTGATATGCGAGCATTCAAATTCACAGGCTGTGCACTTGTAGGGCTTTTCTCCGGTATGTGTTCTCTGATGTATAATCAGGTTATTTTCAAATCTAAATTTCTTTTCACAATAAGCGCACGCGAAGACAGCAGCGTTCTCTTGGCTGGGCTTTGAAGGTGGCGTGGATGCTGATCGAGGTGTAGAGTTGATATTTTCGTTCTCCGGGTTCACTGAATCACTCTTATGTGGAGGAGTTAATGAATGTGGTCGGGTATTGTTTGTAACTGGAGTAGGAGGTAGTTGGGATGGTGATGGGCTCGCAAAATGTGGCGATTGCTTTTGTCGTGGACTCGGCGAGCTCGAGTTAACAATATTTCCAGCCCCAGGACTTGTTGTTCCTGCAAGCTGACGCAATCGCTGCGAGTAAAAATCCATCTGGGGCTCAAGATTCATGCTAGTTTGAGGTCCCACCTGGTTTGCGGCATTCTGTTGTGGAATGATAATTGGTGGTGGGGGTAATGGTGTTGGTGGGGCCGACCCACGATGGCTATTGCTGTTCGAAGGCGGCCGTGATTCCAGAGAATTACTAGAGGAAGCATTAGTACCCTGACTGAACTGAGAAACTCCGGAATGTGGCGTGCCGAGAGAATTGGCGGCCGCAACCGCCGCTGCAGCTAAATTGAGACCATGATGTCTAAACTGCTCGGATACCAGCTGCTCCATTCTATAATGATCTGGATGGGGACGCGAAAAAAGAGGTGCGACACTAGGAACTACAGGGTTTTGCCCCAATGATGGTGGTAAAGGCATTCGCAAAAGGTTAAATGGATTTGCATGCATCTCAGGCGGTGGCAACAGCGTATGGTGCCGAATGCCCGCAGCTGCGGCGACTGCCAAATTTTGTGCATTCTGCATTGCTGTTGTTAGATTGCTTTGTTGCTGCTGCTGTTGCTTATGCTGCTCAACTGCAGCGGCGGCAGCTACAGCTACCCTATGCTGTTGAAGTTGTTGTTGGATTTGTTGTTGCTGCTGTTGAACAGCATTTGAGTGACCACTACAAGCCACCGTTGGTATGACCGGGCCAGCTCCACTACCACTTCCGGCTCCACCTCCGCCACTATTGCTACTTAAGTTGCCGTTTGTACTCGAATTATCTGATTTTTGTGTTTGATGACTGATGGGCGGATATAGAGAAGATGCGGTGGATGGCTGCTGCGTCGTTGATGTTGCAGAGGTTATTGTCGGCGTCGATACAACTACAGGCATGGATGATGATTGTGGATGGGTAGTTGATAGTGGCGAAGTCGATGGCGCAGGATTCGTCAGTGAGCTGGAATGTGGAGACGAAGAGGCAGACAACTCAACATAAATTTTAACACCGTGTGAATGCTGTACATGTTGAATCAAACGCCATGCCGATGTGTAACGGGTCTTGCATGTGGAGCATGTGTAATAGCTGGGCTCTAAAAAGAGAGGGAAGAACGTTTTTTCTGTTAGTTATGAAGTAAATTAAATACTCAAAACAAATACAAATTTTTATACATTCATTAGGCTCATCACCAACTTTTTTAAATTTTTGGTGAAGAGAGCCCTGTAGGGCAATTCTCTATCGTATTATAACGATTTTCGGATCGTTATAATGACTTAACGATA